GAGAAAACAGAATTTTAAATCGGCACAGGTGGGTCCAAACTCTTTAAAGTTAAAGTTTATTTGTATTCTTTGTAGGAATATCAATAAAAGACCTCAAATGTATCTATATCTGTACATATACAAGAACCTTCAAAAATTATTCACAGAACAAAAATAAATCTTCTTTAGAACAAACCCAGGCAATGAAATGCAGAGATGGATCTCAGAGACCAAACAGTCCAGTGCTACTAGCATAAAAATACGGCTTGAAAAACAAGTTTATTACTTTTTTTAAGGTGTACTTTGTTGAAATAAAAAATAAATTATTTAGAGCTATCATTGTAAAACAGTTCTGTGTAGTAACACTCTTATTAAGGCCCTTGAGACAGAAAATCTATTTTTACAGGTAGGATTCCTGGCAGGCATGACCTGTAATGACATACTCTCTCTCATGGGAGTTAACTTACTGTGGAGAAGGAAACATCTAAAAGCATCAGCCTAAGTTTAACCCTTTTGATCTGTCACGCTCAGCTGGATACCCGTGGCTGACCAGAACACTTCTACACGGTTAACGCTAATCACCGATGTAAATACACGTAACGGTTTCAACTCAGACAGGAACTGTTCTTCAGGACCAACACAGACATTTTTGCAGAACACAGACAGGATTCATACATACGTAGTTACCCTGGCAGATAAATATTGCTGACACATTCCCAGTATATCACTGTAAAAATGACCGACTTCGATTGAGTTTTCAGAGGAAGTTAAAAGCTGGTGAGTTTTGAGCGAGCAATAAGACATGGCATTAATATATCTTTTAAAAACAAAAAAGCCTAAGCCAACCCAAAGCAATTGCAAGAACACAAAACAGAACTTATTAGATGGATATGGAATTTATTACTGGATACACCCCATGTTCTCTTAACTAGAAAATATACACATCCCTTTCCACGCTCCTCTGGATCCCCTGCTTAGAGTTATTTCATTTAAGAGGAAAGTTACAAAATGAGTAGCTGTATGAAGCTGTGCTTTTACACATAGCTGCCCGTTTCTAATGCACAAAGGAAATGACAGTTGGTACTTCCTGGATGTCAAACCTTCTTATTTCCCTTAATAAAGGCCTGAATTCCTTGAGTTGCAAAGAACGGGCATTTCCAGCAGTGCTGCCTCTGTTCTCCACAAGTGCCTGTCTCATCTCATGTCCTTCTGGTTACCTCTGTCCCTCCTGCACCCTGCAGACACCACAACACAGCACAGCAAAAGGCCACAGTGCTACCAAATGCTGCTGTTTTTTTTTTCTCCACCATACCAGCCACTGAGGACCTGGAAGCCCAGGTAGCTTTGCCATTTGGGAAGGCTCATCCTCACAGCAGTACTGAGTAACATGGCCAGCAAGGACTGAGATGCCAGGATGGGGCAATTTTTCTGTTTCAGCCTTAGGAACACACAAGTATCACTCCTGCAGGCTGTTAGTTTTTTCCAGCACTACTTCAGCTGTTCCCAAACGAGAGCAGCAGTTGCTTGCAATTGCATTAGGCACATTCTGATGCGTTTGGTGAAAGTATGAACCAAATCTCAGTGACTACCATGCTCATCAGATTTTTGTGCTGTTTACTTTTCCTCTCATTGCTGCACAAACCCACTGGCTGTTAGTTGGAAAGCAAATGCGATCAGGCCCAATTAGGGCTCTTGTTCCAAAACAGGCAGACCTTTTGGCTGCCTCGTGGTTTAGTGCCACTGGAATTTTATCAGACGGGACAAAATAGCAGCTGACATTTTCGCATATTGTCAGCTTGAAGCAGCTTAAAATTTCTTTAGAAAGCCGCTTGGTGACAAACTGGGAGAGACAGCTGCCTGCAGATCTCAGGAGCGTAATGTTTTGTTCTGCAGCTGATCAATTTTAGTCTTGCAACATTGCGAGTCGGCGACCTTCACCCCATTTTGGGTCAACAGGCAGCTTCTCCTCCATACACCGAGTCAGACAAACACACTTTGCACTTCAGCGTGGAAATTGATATACAAGCAGCACCAACCAGCCCAGCAACAAGCTGTGAGGGCAGTACTGATAGTCAGACCCTTTTAGAACAGCAACTTTTCCCAGTCTACAAGCTTAAGAAATACATAGGAGAAAGGACATTATTCAGAATAATGTATCACTAAAGAGCTCACCACGACATATAAACCCTGGGGCAGGTATTATTTCCTCTCTACAAAAAAGAGGACTGAAACATTGCCCCTCTTGCATTTTTTGCAGAAACCAAAGTGCACTCCTTGGACTTCTCAGCATCTATCCACAGAGCTACAGCAATGATCTTTAATAGATTGCCAGAAAGTTGGTGAACTCTGGTGAAATGTTTTTCCCAGTTTAATGCTAGACTACTGCTACCAGAATGACATCTCTGCTTTGCCTTGTTCTTCTAGCCTGGAGGAAAAAAAACCATGGCCAATGTATTCAGATGACTACTTGCTCTCACCTTTCAGGCACAGAACACCCATACCATTTGCACTGTGTAACAAATGAGCAATGCACATGCCCCTCTAAGGCTACTTTGGGGGATAAATTTCCTATCATGCAACTGTGTAAATACAGTAAATAGTAAAGGGAGAGATGCAAGTTGCACAAAAATACTCAACAAAAAGGGGTTGCAAACATTTCTTGTAAGAGAGAACTATTCATACAAGACAAATTAATCCACGCTTGATGCACAGCTACAGCTGTGATGCATGAAGGAAGGAGGAAAGGAGAAGGAACGGAAAGGCACAGTTTGAGGAAGAAAATATCAGAAGTCAGCAACGACCCCACGCTGGAAGACATCATTTGGAAAGTATTGAAAAGAAGTCACTACTGAACAAATGCAATGCACAACTCCAGGTGTGTCAAAGACAGCGCAGACTTGGCTATGATACACCCCAGAACGAGGCAGGAACGCTCCCTGGCCTGCAGTACCAAGCCACATTCGAGCAGTCAGAGACAGAAGCTTTGATTTGAAAGAACTAAGCATTACAGATAAATCTCTACTATGCTGACGAGTCTTCTGACTCGAGATGTAAATTAACAGCCAAGGCCTAGTTAAGAGAGATTCATACACATTTTCCTTATACATCCTACAGTGCAGAAGATGTGGTCTCTGTATTTATGCATAGTTAGTAATGTAATAGACTTGTGTGACAATGTTTAACTGAAGTATTTTAACTCGCTACAGCCAAGGCAGGAACAGTTAACATACTGCACTCTACCACAAACTGGATTTGCCTAAAGAGGTGAGAGTAATTCATTCCCAAAGAACAAACTGGACAACAGACACTGAATTTGGGCCCTCGCATCGCCAGCCCTTCATGTTCGAGGCAACACAAGTCAGGTTTCAGAAGTCATGAGATCAGCTCAGAAATCCCCACACTTTTTAATGTCATACGATTTTAGCGATTCAGAAACTAAGGCCAGAAAGGACAATCAGACCATCAGCTCTGAGCTTCTTGATGTTATAGTACCCCTGTATTCACCTCACAAACTCTTTCCTAGTCTAACCCTGAACTGTTTTGCTAAACACATCCCACAGGAAGGCACCCTTCTGAAGTTTTGTCCAGTTTTGAGGACGTCTCCAGTTTCCAGAACTTGTTTGAAGGGTTAATTATACTCGCTGTTATTAGTATATTCCTGTAATTCAAAATTTGAATTGCTGTTGAAATAATTTACTTCCAGAGTTCAAATCATCCCAAATTTTGTGCAAGAAAAAGGGGTTAGAAATGTACGCTAAGAAGTGAAACTGAAGATTCAAAATCATTTGACTCAAGAAGCTGGGGCTTTAAAAAAATTCAGGCTAAGTATTGTCATGTTTGATGTAATCATGAGAATTGACAGTACTGTGTCATTTGTTGTGAATCTTTTACAGTAAGTGAATCACAGAATGGTTTAGGTTGGAAGGGGCCTCTGGAGATCATCTAGTCCAACCGCCCTGCTCAAGCAGGGTCCTCTAGAGCATATTGCCCAGGATCACATCCAGACGGGTTTTGAATATCTCCAGGGAAGGAGACTCCACCACCTCTCTGGGTGACCTGTTCCAATGCTCTGTCACCCTCACAGTCAAGGAGTTTTTTCTCAGGTTTAGATGGAACTTCTGTGCTTCAGTTTCTACCCGTTGCCTCTTGTCCTGTCGGTGGGCACCACGGAGAAGAGTCTGGCCTCATCCTCTTGACAGCCCCCCCTTCAGATACTTGTATACTCTTTCCCCCCCCCCCCCACACACACTTCAGATACTTATACACGTTTATGAGATCGCCTCTCAGTCTTCTCTTCTCCAGACTGAACAGGCCCAGCACTCTCAGCCTTCCTTCATAGGAGAGATGCTCCAGTCCCCTCATCATCTTTGTAGCCCTCCGCTGGACTCTCTCCAGTAGTGCCATGTCTCTCTTGTAATGTCAGCATCTTCCACAAGAAGGTCACTTTGTAATTACAGATGCATTCACATATAGCCTGCAAGTATGCTTTGGTGAAATGCAACTGAAAGTATTTGGAGACAAAAAGTTTAGTCTAAGCTCCTTAGGAAAAAGACTGGTGAGTACAGAATGCCAAAAAATCCTTAGAAGTATCCAAAAAAGGACTAATTTCAGTGGAAATGGAAGATCTTAAAAAAAGTGCAGAAAGCATCTTTTCAGCAGAACTAGACTGGCTAATCCAGTGGCTGAAAAAATGAAACTGAACATTACAGAGTTAAAATGAAGAAATCATCTAGAAAAATGAATTTTGCATACAGAAATCTACTGTGCTGGGCATGGGGACCCTTTGGTTAGCCCTTTCTCCAGAGCATTAATCTGCTTGTTCCCGATGGAGTGCAGAGAATGAAATCAGGGTGCTACTGCATGGTGCATAAAGTGAGGATTGGAGAGAAATTAAAAAAAAAAAAAAAGTATTTACAGGTCTGTAAATTCTCAAAACAGAAAATTTAAACTGTGTTAGGACCGGCATAAAAAAGAAAGAATCCTACCTTATTAGGACCAGTATAAAAAAGAAAGACTCCTACCTTGAAAACTGCAGATTCCCTTTCTTTGTTTGATGGGAAGCCTGACTTTGTGCAAATGTAAGGAAACAAGCTTGCTGCTCCAAGAGGAGTTTTGTTTTTACCGAGAATGTTCAAAAAGACTGAATTTTTTTTTTTGCTAGAGTCCTACCCGAAGTACGTACAGGTTCCAGCAAGAGCCAATCTCCTTGCTAAAATGTTTGCTATTGAGTTTGCATTCAGTTAAAGAACAACTAGGGAAGAGGGGAATAAAACCAGCAGATGAGTCTTTTCTAGAATTCACTTCACTAGTATTTCACTCCACTCATGTACTTGTGTCAGTCAGCCTGATATATACAGCTGCTATCTAACGTAACTCACTGCTCATCTCTCTCTCACCCACAACACACATGCACTCACACTCCCCTTTCCCCTCCTCCAAGGACTGCAGTGCTTTTAACAAGAGAAAATAATAATAATAATAGCAATAATTAAAAAAAATCTACAGTATTCACTTCCTTTTGGTATATTACATCGGCATTTTCTGTACATGACAAGAGCTCCCTCTATTTACACAGTGATATGGAAGGATTTGTTCTTGGGAGCCCTACTCTCCTGGCCTTGAATGAGGAGTTAAGGCCCACTTTTCAGAGTTCTTCTCTCTTTTTTTATTTTAGCAGCATTATGTAAACCTGAGAGGAGAAAGAGGGTTTCTTACGTTTGTTCCCTCTTGC